TAGCAGGTTTCCATGTTCAGAAGTACTTTGAAAGCAAGTGCTATTCAGAAGTACTTAGCAAGCAAGCGTTGATAAGAAGATATGCAAGCATGTTCTGAATCAAGACGTGAAGCTAGTTCTGAAAGAATATAGAAGCTAACAAGTCTTGTCAATTTTCAGGAAACATGCTCTGACAAAGTGACGTTTGCTCATTTAATGCAAAGACGGCTACATGCACTCAAGTGTCTACGCTAGTTCATTGGAAAATGCAATACTGCAAGCAAACACGCAAACATTTATTGCTCTCCACTTTTGAAGGCAACATCAATCATTTTCTTCTTACTATATATAGAAGAACATTTATTGCAAGCCAACCACTCAACAAATTCAAAAGAAGCAAGAACTACGTGAAAATATTCTGGGCTCACAAATCATTTTACATACACTTTGTGCAATACTAATCTTAGTGAAAAACCACAGTTGTGATATAGCTTTCTTAGAAGCAAATTTTGTTTCACTATCTGTAAAGATTTAACTCTTGTAATTGTTCCTTGAGAGACCAAGTTTGGTCAGATTTCTCAAGTAGACTAGAACTAGTTTAAGTCTTAGTGGTGTTAGTCACTTGTAAGATTACTTGTGCATTGTTAGTCACAACAGTTGTTGTGTGATTGTAATCAGTTGATTATAGTGAATTAAGTCCTTGTTGAGAAAAGCGAAATCACATTGGCGGGTGGACTGGAGTAGTTTGAGTTCAAACGAACCAGGATAAAAATAACCGTGTCTTTCCATTATTGTTGAGCCTTTAAGAAAAAGAAAAGGAGAAACTTATTCACCCCCCCCCCCCTTTTAAGTGTTTTCTCACCCTTCAGAGTTTAGTTTTATAAAACAAATTTCATTTCATTTGTTAGGTTATGGTTTTGGGGTATTTGTTCCCAACCCCATCAACCTTCATTCTTTGATAGTTTAAAGCTTAGAAAACAAAAATGGAGCTTGCATCCAGATAATCCAGGGTCGAATTTCTCATTTATTGGCATTGACAAACTGAAATATGTTATGTTCCTTTTCTCTTCTTCTCTTTTTATTCTCTATTTGTTGGAGTTTGTATGTAATTTTACCTTGATTATATGTATATTTAATGCTCATGGTGTTTTATCAAACTCATTTTACAAATCAATATTGATGATTGCTTTCTTTATTTGCGTTTGAGTTGTTGCAGACATGGACAGGTCGAATCCAGATTTAGGATGGACATCTATTAGGTTCTAGACTCTAGACATATGTTTAGGCTTAATATTCATTTGGGTATCGGATCATAATGCTTTCGTGTTGTTTGTGTTGCACTGAGAGATCGTCGATGCGAGTAATATGGTCGTTGTCTCACTCTGCACTAGAGATGACCTATGTGTAAGAGATATGTGATAATGTTGATGAGTGATTTAGGTTGAGTACAACTGGATAGTAAGTTTAAGTATTTTATAGGGTATATGAAATGCAAACACGAGAGTTCTCTACTCTCTGAAGAATGAATTATTTTCTGTTAATAACTTTAATTCCCTCATTTACCTTTAAACCATTCAAATACAAACTCAAGAACATGATACCTGTCGAACGGAAATTCAGTAGCACTAATCCCTGTGGAGACGATAAAAGATACTTACTCAAGTTTTTTGCTTGAGAACCACTAACCGTAGCTGTCAAGAGAATGGCGTCGTTGCTAGAGATTGGTGTTTTTATTGGATCGCATCGCGATAGTTTCTTTGTTTTTGAGTTTTGTAGATATCATATATATTGTCTATTTTCACTTGTTTATATTGATACTTGTATATGTTTACCATATTTTTGAATTTTTACATGTTTTATATACTTGTAAATTTAGTGTATATGTTTGTTTCTCTTCAAGTTTGCTAAGGTGTTTGGTTAGGTTTCATCGTCGGTGAGCACTATTCTTGTACGTAGGTAACTTGGAGAAGTGTGTATAAATAACAGGCATCAAGCTTACGATGTAAAACAATCATGTTTTATTATTTTTATTTTCTTTAGTGTTTTTCATTGTATTGGTTTAGGTAGTGTGGTGAATGTTGTCTAAACAAGTTGAAATTGGACCGGTTGTAAATTTCTCACTCTTCACTTTTCAACTTGTTTATCCACTTTCACCCGGTCTTTTAGTATGTTTATAGTAGTTTGTGTTACTGTGTTAATTTTTATTGTCCAAAAGCTTGTCGTGTTTAGCTTTAGGAGTTTTGCATGTTTATAAATATTGTGTATTTTGTAGTTGAGTAGTATTGATGTAGTGGAGGTTAGGCATGAAAAATCAAAGTTGTTATGATTTTTTTATGTTTTTATGCTACCGCTAAGTGCGGTCTAGCCCACTTACCGCACTTAGTTGTGTTGTGCCAGTGAATTCTTTTTGTTTCACTTTCCTTCCTTTTTATCACTTCCAACAAGGCTTTGTAGGTTACATAACAATAGTATAATTAATTCTTTTGTTGTTGTTTGGACTCCGATTTTGGTTCGATAGTTTGAGGTAACATTTGGTGATTTTTTGGATTTGAGTCTTTCAACTTTCAGATGTATGGTAATGATTTTAATTTGAAGTTGGTACACGCCAAGTACTCGTTTATCGCTTTCTATAGCATAACATATTTAGGAAACTTATAATTTGTATAATTACCATGTCATTCATTCTTTTACATTGCTTGCTTTTGATTGAATCAGTTTAGTTCCTTTTTACCCCCAAATGTGAGGAAAATTTCCATTGTTCATATATGCTAGAGGTCACAATTCTTGTTTTAACTAGATTTTATTATGCTTAATCTTTTATTTGTGTTGATTGTATGAAAGCATGAAAAGGATAAAGGTATTTTGTTTCATTTTGAGCACAACTACCTGACCAAATTGTCAATTCATCCCGTGAGTGTGTGGTGATTTGTTAAAACCTTTGAGCTTTTGTCAATATACATGTTTCATTTAAGCTTGATGCTTGTCTATGAGTGTTTAATTCACCTTTTTTGTATGCATTTTAATTCTTTGTTTTCTTGAACCCTCAACCTTGTGTTGCTGTATGAATTTTTATCTTGCGTTAGAAAGTAGGGAGTATTCACACATTGATGTTGGTTGAATTTAAGTAGGGGAGAGAAATGTTTGCTCATTTACTTGTTGGTTTCTATGCGGTTGCGAAAAAGAAAAAGAAAAATAAAGAAAGAAAGAAAGAAAAGAAAAAGAAAGAAAAAAGATGAAAAAGTTTTGGAAAAGAAAAAAAAGTAGAATAATGTTGTGCTAATAAGTAAGGTGTGTTTGGTGTAACACTTGGGATGTAAGAAGAAGTTTGATTAGGATTTTCTGTTTGAAACTTTGTGAGTTTATCACTTCCTTATGTTTAGCCAAATTTTTGTTTCAATTAGCTTTAGGATTTACCCATTGTTTGTTAATCAAGCCACATTACAACCTTTAAGTTGTTTGGCCTTGTTTGGGGACAAACAAGTTCAAGTTGGGGAGAGTTTGATAAGTGCAAATTGTAGTTATTTTTGTGTATAAGTTTTGTTGAACATATCGACACTTTTTGTTAATATTGTTTGAATAAACCCCATTTTGTTGCAAATACATTTAGTTTATGTATGTTTGTTTTTTTTATTTCTTTGTGTATCGTTTGATAGTTTTATGTCTTTTTGTAGGTATTGTCCCATATTTGAGGCATTGAGGAATAAGGGGTCGAAGGCACGGCTCTGAAGAAGCATTATTGAGAAGAAATTCTCAGGCAAACCCGCTTAGCGTATTCTGTAGCGCACTATAGATGTTTTTGTGAATTCTGGAAGAAGCACATTTTCTGAGCCCGCTAAGCGTGATTAACTCGCTTGGTGAGAATTAGGCGATTTGATGTGTTAAATAAAAGCAGACCGCTTAGCGCGATGAGGCCATTTAGTGCGGTCTGCTGAGTTTAGTTTTACAAAACATATTTCATTTCATTTGTTAGGTTATGGTTTTGGGATATTTATTCCCAACTCCATCAAACGTCATTCTGCCATACCCTAAATTTTCCAGTCTTTGTGCTACCGCCAAATTTTTTTTTTGAACTTGAGTTTTACAGATATAAAATTCCTTCAATTAACATTCTGAGGTTTTTAATAAAAAATCACTTTCAAGTCTGTTTGAAAATATAATAATCATTTGTAAAAAGAAAAAATCATTATTCGCTGTCATATACTTTCAAATGGCTTTCTACTTTTGAATAAGTAACATAACACATTTGGTAAGGGAGAAAGATGGACAAGCAAAATGTCACGGGTTCGAATCTCACTTGGTGCATTTTGGATATTTTTGCTATTTATTATTACTAACTTTATTTTCATTTTCTAAAACACAAAAATCATTTTTTTTTATTATTAAATTATTATTTTCGTATTTATTTATTTATTATATTTTAAAATATTATTTTTATTAAAATATTTATTTTATTTAAAAAAAATAGTCAAAATAACTTATAAATAGATAAAATTTAATTTGACCCTTTTATTTATTTTGGGCTAGCTTTCTCTCAAGTTTTTAAACATAATTTTACTCTATAAGTATGACTCATTATTGTCCTAATTTCACATCAACGATTCATCCAGAAACATCCAAAAATATTCACAACAACTCCAAGATTGCTTTTTATTTTTGGCCAGTAATTTCTTATGAGGCCTCTATATTATTTATAATTTTATCTTTTTTAATTTTATCTTTTCTGATCGTTGAACATACACAATTCCAACCTACTTATTGCACCGTTTTATTCTTCATTGTTTCAATTTTCACATAAAATTTATAGTAATAGTCTCATCCTCAAATTCAATTTTCATAACTTCCCTTTTGTTTAATTTTTATCACAGTAACTATAAACCTTCTTTCAATCATTACTTTTATGTATAATTTTTTTTAATATTATATCTTTTGCGAACTTCAAATTTCAAATTACAAATTTTTTCAGAAATCTAAACAAATTTGGTTTTACTCAAAGAATATAAATACAACCATATTCATTGGGATCATCTATCATAATCAAAACCTGTAATCACCAGACTTTTAAGCACAAATTTCTTGCCTAAGAGTTTTTTCAGGAGAAGAGAAAATCTGTGATACGAAAGTAGAAAAATAAATAAGAAGCGAAACTTCGGCGCTACCGCTAAATATGTGACTCGTGTGTTTTTTTCTTCTTTATAATTTTTGTTGTTCTTTAAAGTCTTGCTTGCAGATTGTTTAGGAAGAAGAAGCATTCTGGCAAAACAAACAGCATACAAAAAAAGAAAGAGAGTAGAAGTATTGGTGCAAAGAATCAATTGAGATTGAATAGGAAAAGAAGAACAACAAAATCAAGCCAACGAACATCTTCAAGGATGAACAGCCACCGCGAGAACAATCATGCACCCAAGCCGTCACCGTTCACCTACGACACACAACCTTATCATCACCGGGAAATCACGGCCAACTCCTCCCTCTAGTGATCTGAGATTCCGCCGCTTACGAAATCGAGATCACCTTCCACCTCCTCCCGGATCCACATCTCCGCCGGACAGCCCACCAGCACACGGTGTCGCCGCGATCTGCATATAGAACCCGTCGTGAAAACCGCCATGGACGTCGTGTTGCGCTCTGCCCCTTCCGGTTCCAGTGACCTCCATCCTAAGATAAGAGTTTATTTCTTTTTCTTCTGCCGTTTTTATTTTCATCTTGATATGATGTTATGGTTGTTGATGTTCCAAAGAGTAGAAGAGGTTTTGTTATCAATGAAAACTGGAGTTGTTCAAAGTAATATAGCGTGAGAGGCATTTGTTTCTTTTTATTTATTCTTAACTCTATGGCCACGTGTCGTTCTTTCACTGGGCATGAGAATTGGAATTTTGGAGTTGTAGCAACGTGAGGAGTCTGACTAGATGGACATATTCTCTTTAGTTTATTAAATTTTAAATTATTTAATTAAAATTTAGAAATTAGGATTTATTTTGAGTTGGGCCTTTTGGGCCAATGTTTAAAATCTTCTACTTGTCTATAGTTTTGCTAAATCTTACACCCAGCTTACCAATTAGCACCCCCTAACTCAATACACACCTCTAACCCAATTATCTTAGTTTAATAGTTTTGGGTTAATTAATTTTGGTTAATTAAATTAATTTTAATTATTTTAATTAATTTAGATTAATTATTTTAGTTCTCTAATTATTATAAATATTAAAAGCAATTACCCATACAACTACTAAACCTTTTTAAATAAACTCGGGTATACTAATCATATTTCTTTTCATATAATTAATTCAACATTTTCGCAAACAATAGGATGTCCCCCTTCGAATAATTAAATTGGTCGACACATTGTTTACCAATTTATCATTTACAATCAAACAATTGAAATCTATGCAACTCTCTAAATTCATGACGAGCAACACGTGGTCAATATCTGGCCACGTGATGAGAACACGTGATGAGGAAGATTATACTAGGCTTCCTTCGCATCCTTCATGACAAGAAACACGGGGTCAATATCTGGCCACGTGACGAGAACGCGTGAGGAGGAGACTATATCAGACTCCCCCGATCCATGTCTTGATCAAATCAAATACCAAAACAGCTAACCAATTACAAACTATATTTTCTACTAACATAATAAAAACAACAAGATTATTTTCAAAAAAAGGATTAAGGAGAATTATTTTCAAATTAACTGCGAACTGCGTCTACAATCACTCAACTTACAACCCGGAAAAGGTTCAAGGTTAATTCGAAATCAGTTTTACGCGATCTTATAAAAAACACCAACCAACACTACGAACTAAGAATTGGGACTCTGATTCCTCATAAGAGGATACATAGGCATACGATCAAAAATCGTAGCGAGTTCCCCTATAAAAAATTTAAACCCTTCCCCAATAAAAATATTTTAACCCTTCCCCTAATAAAATTTAAATCCTGTTTCTCCAACTTAAATCTAAAACCTAATATCCTTGTGAACAAGGTAGATGAAAGGTGCCTAACACCTTCCTTTCGTCTAAAGAAGTCTGAAACCTAGAATCTCTGTCTGCGAATTAGGGTTTTCTGTTAGATTCCCTTCCCTAGGATAAAAACTAATAGTGGCGGCTCTGATTAAAAAACTAGTTGCTACAGTTGTCGACTCTGCTGGGGAATTCAACTTTAGGTTTTACGGTTTTTTGCTTTGGGGTTTTTATTGCTTTATTTATTTATTGCTTTCATTTATTCACTGCATTTATTTAATTATTGTATATTTTTTATCAACATATATACCGCGTGGCGAGATTTTTTATTTTCCCAAAATATTTTCGATAACCCTTAGAAAGAAGGTTCGTCTATTAGCTTAGGGGGTGCATCATCCCTGCGAATTTATGTGATGACTTCACCTAGAGTTGGTGGACTTCCGAAAAAGAAATACTTATCGAGAGATACCATCTTGACGAGTAAGACTTTGGAAGGTCACCCATGACTCTTTCTAACAACCTTAATCTAAAATCTCATGAGAAGACCTTTCACGACTTTGAGACGGAAGTCTCGGTCCATAAAGAGGCTCCACTTAAGGGAGGCCCTTGTGCCTTTTCCCTCTGGTGTTATTCATGATACCCTTAAGGAAACCATCTTATGGGGAGGGTAGAATATCCGTAGGCCAAAACTAGGAGCCTACCTTTTAAGGATATCATTCATATAATCCCATTTCCACTATCTCTAAACCCGCAAGGGTTACTTCCGGTATACTGCAATCCCTAGCCTGTAGGGTCTATCTTTCATAAGTCACAACCCATAAGACGTAGGGATTTTTCAACCGTCCATTAGTCTATTACAATCCCTAGCTTGTAGGAATTCTCGTCCCTTAATTACCATCTCTAGCTTGTAGGGATTCCCCTTCATCTTCTATGGTCCTTAATCCTTAAGAAGATCCTATTTATCTCAATATCTGAGTCAGTGTAGGGTATCCCCATTTCCACGTCTACCATTATCCTCGCCCTTAAGGAATTCCTATCTGTCTCAATATCTGATTCAGTGTAGGGTACCTCCAAATCCATATCAAATTATTTTCGTCCCTAAGGAATTCCTATTTATTTAAATCTCTGAGACAGTGTAGGATATTATCATTTTTATATATACCATCAAACCTATATAGGATACCCCTGCGTCTACCCTCATACTATGTCTGCGTCATATTGCATATCCATGAAACCTTTTTGCATCATACCCTAAAGCCAAAAACATTTTTGCATACCCATGCATTCACATACATTCATACATTTGCATCTCATGCATTTCCACCTTCGCCCTTATCTAACTGTTACCCACATGCTAGCTGATTTCTTGGTACTCGCTTGAGGAAGTCCGAAAATATGGAAGGAGGAGATTAAAAATTGGAGACTCAATTATACTTGGCCCCACAAAGAAAGAAGGAAACCCTTCACAAGGTCAACAACGGGTCTACACAGCGCCTCAAATGCCACTACCATCGACGATTCCTTTATATCAAGAGCAACTGCCTTATCAATAAAATAGGTATGCCCAAGAAAATTCAAGGGTCATCCCCATGATCTGACAAGTCCAAGAACTACGAAGCATCTCCTAGAGTCAGTGGATCAACTAAAAGCTCTTCTATAGGATCATTAGGCTTTATCAGTTTCAATTTGTAATTTCTAAGTTGCTAAGTTATATTTGGTTGTATCTTTGGATCACTAAATCTAATAAAATAAACATGCATGTTTTTGAAATCGATTCAATCCACAAAAATCAACAACTCTCTATTTTCACTCTTTTCCATTTTCAAATTAAAAAACTTCGAGGGAGAATGATAAAAATCAAATAACTGGATTTTGATAAGCTATGCTTTCAATGTAAGACCGAGCTGGCGGTGTAAGGCATTGTTTCAATTCCTAAACAGTGGAGAAATAAGGAGTTAATCCATAGTCAACCCCCTCGAGCCAGAAGTTGGATTTATTTCTATTTTCTTAAAAAAAAACTTAATTTCAACCAGGGGGAGGGTAGTCTTTCAATTAATTCAATGGTGTGTTCCATTCTAAAGAGAAGTGATTTATCTAAACAAAAGGTTCAAGCACATCTCTTTCCTCGATACATCATTGAGGAAATAATATAATCAAGGTGTTAGAACATAGTTTGATTCTACAACCTTTAATTAGAGTTTTGATGATAACAAACACAAAGAAAAAAATATGAACTCTAAATTTGTGTTATTTTGTATGAAGAAGCTCTGACTGAAACAACATCAAATTAAGCTACAGAAGCTTTCAAGATGAGGTAATCAGAATGTTCTGAAGAATGATGATCAGAATCTACGTTGAAGTGAAGAATACTCTGATTCTGAACAGAAGTCTAATATACCATCAGATCCTCACATCTCTGAATCATCAATGTTCTGAAGTAAAAGCACCATGCAAGATTCTAGTTCTGAAGCGTTACTTTTCAATTAAGACAGCATCATATGCAACGACTTCATTCAAACAAGAATCTTCTCAATATGGAAATAGCATTGAGTGTCCATTATCACGCTTTATGTTGGACAAGATTTCCACGCCTATATAAACAATCTTAAAGGACAAATCGTTTACGATTTTGAGATACACTGCTTACACATCAGAAATGCTGAAAAACTTTCATAATTCTCTCATACGCTCAAATTGTGTAACATATCACAGTAGTGATACAATTTTTGTAATGAAAAACAATAGTACACAGTATATCATTTTCTTTTGATTAAGCTAGTTTTCCTTGAGATAAATCGGGTTGTGGTTGTACTCAAGAAGACTTTGGCAGTTGTCAAAGTAGTATTGTAATCAGATTTGATTAGTGAATTAAGTCCTCGTTGGAGAGAGGCGAAATCACCTTGGCGGGTGGACTGGAGTAGTTTGAGATCAAACGAACCTGGATAAAAATACCGTGTCTATTGCTTTTGATTTTAAGTTTTAATTCAACCACCCCTTTCTTGTGTTTTTCACTTCTTCAATTGGTATCAGAGCGCCTGGTTCTGAGTTCATACACTTAACCGTGTCAGTACAAGATCCAAGCTTTAGAAAAACACTATGGTGGGACCAAGCCAAAACATCAGCAATGACTATCATGAGGACAAGGACAGAATCAGCGGCAAAACTCCAGTCTTTGATGGAGAAAATTTTGACTACTGGAAAGACAAAATTGAGAGCTTCTTTCTGGATCATGATGCTGATCTATGGGACATGGTAATTGATGGATACACACATCCTGTGGATGAAAGTGGTCAGAAGATAGATAGAAAAAGGATGTCTGACCAGCAAAAACTTGATTTCAGAAACCATCATAAAGCCAGAACAATACTTCTCAGTGCCATCTCATACTCAGAATATGAGAAGATCTCAAACACAGAGACAGCCAAAAACATGTTTGACTCTCTGAGAATGACGCTGAAGGCAACATACAAGTCAAAGAAACCAAGGCCCTTGCGCTCATTCAGAAATATGAAGCATTCAAGATGGAAGACAGTGAATACATAGAAGAAATGTTCTCAAGATTCCAGATTCTTGTTATTGCGCTGAAAGTTCTTGACAAAGGATATTCTACTTCTGATCACGTAAAGAAGATCATCAGAAGTCTACCCAAGCAATGGAGGCCAATGGTCACTGCACTTAAGCTGGCTAAAGATCTCAATAAGATATCTCTGGAGGAACTTGTCAGCTCCCTCAGAAGTCATGAG